TTTAGAGAGAAAGAAAAAATTTTGCATCCACTGGCTTACTTCCCAAATGGCTACAACAGCCAGAGCTGAGATGGTCCAAAGCCACGAGCCAGGAGCCCCTTCCAGGTCTCTCATGTGGAGCCATGGTCCTAAAAGACTTGAGCCATTTTCCACTGCTTTCCCAGGCCACAAGCAGAGAACTAAACAGAAAACAGAGCAGCCAGGATATGAACTGGAACGCTGGTGCTTGCAGCTGGAGGATTAGTTAATTGATCCATCCTGCCATCCCCCAAAGAATGTGTCTTAAACTTCTTTATCTAACAAAGCCTATGGCCACAAAGCCTATGGCCAGGACTGAGCACACAGTTGTCACTCTGTGAAACAGCCCTGATGAGCTCAAGGGGAAATCTAACATGTCCTGAAGGCCCCAAGGGGAAACGGTGTGACTGATGAGCAGAATACAACTATTGGACTGTGAAACCTCACACCTGCTTCTCATTGCATCTCAGACGAAACCCTGCAGTGTCATCTTCTGAAGAGATTGCCCACATGCAAGCAGCACAGCACCCCACCCTTGCTGCTTTAGATCAGCGACACGCTGACACTGGGGGCAGGCTCTGGGGAGTGCTGCACTGGGCGATTTCATGCATGTGTGAGCATCGCAGAGTCGGCTGGCACCATGTAATCCTAAGGGCCGCCGCTGCCTTTGCAGCCTACCATGGAAGCGCTGTGCCATGGGCACCTGACACGGAGGCAAGCTGCCTCTGTCCCTGGTGAGCATCACCCCGGGCACCCAGCCCCCTGCATTCATCCCACTCGATGGAGGCCTGCCTGGATTCTGGAGTCCCCCTGGTACATTCTCTGTACTTAATATAAAGAGAATGGATTCTATCCATTCCATTGACTACAGGTCCAAGAAGACAAGCATACTTCCTCACTGCCCTCACTTCACCAGTTGATGCAAAGGCATGATTTTAATCCACTCTATGTTCACAGGCTTAATTAACCCTGAATCGTATTGCTCAACAGGTAAAGAAAAGGAAGCCTGCAATTCTACCGGTGCGTAAACATGGGCCAAAAATCCACGGTTGTGTCCCAAAGTGGCCCTTTCATTCCTATGCATTTTTGCATCTTATATTAGTTGCTATATATTAGGGGAAACAAACATGAGTCTTTTTGAGATTGTCCTATTTTACTAAACATAATGGTTTCTAATTGTATCCATTTTGTTGCAAAAGACATTGTGCTTTATGGATGAGCAGTATTCCATAGTGTGTGTGCCTCATTTTCTTTGTCACTCATCCGTTCGTGGACATCTGGGTTGACCCCACACCTTAGCTGGTGTGAGTTGAACTGCAATAAGCATGGGGGTGCAAATCCCCCTCTCGTAGGCTGGTTTTGTTTCATTTGGGTGTATCCCCAGAAGTGAGATGGCTGGGTCCCCTGGCAGGTCTGCTTTGAGGTCTCAGGAGTCTGCAGATTGTCTTTCATAATCATTGCTTAGTTGGCATTCTCACCACCCAGCTGAGTCTTAGCGTGCCAAGTATGCTTCTCGTGTGTTCATGCCACCGGGGGCCTGATGTCGGGGTGTGATTGAGAGTGATACTGTCATCCTGTCTTATCCACCTCCCCTCCGCCCTCATCAGAGGGTACCTGGAACCTCATCATGGCCCTGATCTGTAGAATGGTTTTCCTATAAATCAGCCACAGAGAGAACATGCTTATCAATAAGTAATACACTGAACAACCTTATGTGCAAGTGGTTTCTCTGTGTCCCTCTTGGAATTTCTGATTAACCTTGGTGGACCACTGGAGGTGGCACCATGCACGTTAGTCATGTTAAGAGGCCTCGGGGCCTCTGCCTGTCCCCTGCACCCAGCCACAGGCTGGCACTGTGCAGCGAGCCATGGCCACTCCTGCTTTGCTGCTTTCCATCTGGATCTGACCAACACGAGGGCACTAGCTAGTCCTGGAAAACGGAAGTAAAAGACTAAGATAATTTTAGTGCAAGAATTGTGACATCCACGCAGAGTGTTTTCCATGCCTAAATTTTTCTTTTATTCATTCATGCATGAGATTTCCAAAGCAGAACACGCCCGAGGAAGCCTGGTGGTGGGGCTGGGCTGTGGTCCTCGGGGGCAGACGCAGACACGCTCGCCCTGGACTATGCAGAATCTGTTCAAGAAACTGCTGTCTCTGAACACCAACCCCAAGGGGAGCAAAGTCTGCTCTGAGCCCCAGGGCACCCAGGCCAGCAACTGTCAGGATTTATACTGTCCCTCGTGGTCACACGAGTGAATGAACTTGGTGCACATATCCAAATGGGGATGCCAACAGACTTCTTACACCTCATTGGACTAAACTACCCTTTTTGGCACCTCCAGCCACAGGGACTTGCTGGGTTACACCCCATCCCACCCCCACCAGGAGGCAGGGGGCCAAACCACAGCATCAACTGTGGACAGCCACTGCAACTGGCTGCCAATCATCCTTCAGCAGACACTCCTGTCCCAATTTGACAACGCCCCATGTACACCCATTCATCCAGATCTCTGATTGTTTTCTTAGTGCGATGTCAAAGGCAGTGGGTACGTGGACATGTCTTACGCACGCTGCTAAGTTTCTTTCAGGAAAGGCCTTACCCACCGTGAGTAATCATGGGAAGTGTGTGTCCACTGTGGGCACACTCCTGGTGGTGCCATATCTCTGGGACTTGATGAGCACCAGGCAAAGCACCAGGGTGGCTATGTGGCATCGCTCTCGTAGGTTGCACTCAGAGGTCAGGACGTGAGTTCAAGGACACATGTTTGAGAATTTTGAGCTCATGGACAGAGAGCAGAACTGGAACAGAGGAGCAGGAAGAAAGCTGCAGCCGGCTCTCTTGCCCGCCTCCATCAACTTTACCAACTGAGTAAGCCATGACTGGAGCCCACATTGCTCAACAGGTGCAAAATGGGCATCTGGTGGGAACAGTTTCGGCGTGACCAGCACTGGGAGCAGGCCCACGTGAATCTTGCCCATGGTGCAGGGTTTTTGTCCTGTGTGGCGCTGGCCCAGAGGCCTACCCAGGACCATGTTCTAGAACCCCAGCAGAGACACCACTGGAGACCCTGGGGGACAGCAAGGGGCAGGGACGGAGGTGAGTGCCCATACCAAGCCAGAGGGATGGGTGTGAGGCCCCATGAAGAGTTAGACTCGTTGGAAGTAGGCCTTGCAGTGCTGTGGCTTCCGTTGCTGCTTGGGATCTTTGCATCCTCCGCTGGAGTGTCTGGAAACAACTGCCACCACAGCCTGCCAGGCCAGCTTCCTGTAAGGCTCCCGGGATGCGGTTCTTGAGTCTCTGCTGCCCAGGCAAGGAGACTCGGGTGGAGTTCTGGCTCCTGGCTTTGCCTGGCCCAGCTCCGGTATTTGGACCTAGTGCATGGGAAGTGCTCGCTCGCTCACTTTCTCACCGATGAATACACAGGGATAAATAAATATGTTAAAGGAGGATTGATGGCTTGAAGAAGCATGAGGCAACATGGAGCGGTCCCCTGACTTCATGGGGAAGACTGGGTTGTTTTATGTTTAATAAGTGCATTTCCATAGTAAATTAAAGTTCTGCCTTCTTAGAACATGCAGGATGCCAGACACAACATGGGACCAGGAGACCGGTAAGGAACGTGAATAGTCAGGCCCAGAGTGGTAGCCTAGCGGCTAAAGTCCTCATCTTGAATGCTCCAGGGTCCCATATGGGTACCGGTTCATATCCAGCTGCTCCACTTCCCATCCAGCTCCCTGCTTGTGGCCTGGGAAAGCAGTCGAGGACGGCCCAAAGCCTTGGGACCCTGCACCTGCATGGGAGACCCAGGGGAAGGCTCCTGATTCCTGGCTTCGGATCAGCTCAGCTCTGCTGTGGCCACTTGAGGAGTGAACTAGTAGATGGAAGATCTTTCTCTCTGGAAATTTGACTTTCCAATAAAAATAGAAGAAATGTAAATAGCAAGCTTCCGCTACAGATTTCAAATGACCAGACCAAAATGTTGGCAGTTTTATTCTTGTTTCTAATCAGTTTTATTTGCCATGCAACTCACTCATAAAAAGCAATGTCTTGAAACATTTTTAAATTCACTCAAGACGTGGTCATACTCTCACAGCCGAGACCCCCTTACGGGCTACAGAGGGTGGCAGTAACACCCTCTGGACTGTCTGCCAGCTTCAGTGTCCGGTGTCTGGCCATTGAGGTCCCTGGGAGGGCCTACAGCAACCCCCCCCCCAGCCCTCCTCTCCCCACATCCTGGGTTCTCCCTCCCCACCCCCACACTTACATACCTACAAGCCTGGCCTGGCCTGAGCTGGCCTGCATCCTGGCACCTCCCACGGCAGGTCTCCTCTCTGACAGGCAGGACTAGCAGCACCCTTGGGCACCTCAGCCCAAGAGAGCAAGGCCCAGCAGCTTCTCCCATGATGGCTGGGCCCTTCTCACTGGCACATGGGACATGCCTAGTGCCCTCTGGTGCCACGGATTCAGCAGTCCCATCTGCCCGACTAGTGTCCTGGTCCATCAGGGCATGGCCTTGATTCCACTCTGCCCACACCTGCTACCCAGCTTTGCCCAGGTGTGCAGTTTGGGCTTTGGGAGGGCCTCCGGTTGGTGAGGATAAGATTTTAGGTTGGATGCTTCTGGACGTGGAATCCCACGTGGGTCTGGGTCTTATCGATTCTGTTTCCATCTTAAGGGCAGCTAACGTGGATACTAGCACAGTTGGTCCAGGTGTTTGCCCAGAGGCTGGGCACTTCCGCCTGTATCTGTGAAAGGCAGGTGTGCTCTGCTGATGGGCCACAGTGACAAGAAAGATCAACCTGGACGTGTTGTGTACAGACAAAAACGTTTTCCATGGGCTGCTTTAGGGGTCCGTGGGGCATGGCACAAGTGGAACTAACGGGTGAGTAATGAGTTTCCCAAGCCACCCCGCCCCCGCCACGGGTCTGGGGCCTGCGTGGTAACCTCCGTGTTCCTTGCAGGTTAGCAATCTGGAGCAATGGGCGACTGGAGCTTTCTGGGAAGACTACTCGAGAACGCGCAGGAGCACTCCACGGTCATCGGCAAGGTCTGGCTAACGGTGCTCTTCATCTTCCGGATCCTGGTGCTGGGGGCGGCGGCCGAGGAGGTGTGGGGCGATGAGCAGGCCGACTTCACCTGCAACACGCAGCAGCCCGGCTGTGAGAACGTCTGCTACGACCGCGCCTTCCCCATCTCGCACATCCGCTTCTGGGCGCTGCAGATCATCTTCGTGTCCACCCCGACCCTCATCTACCTGGGTCACGTGCTGCACATCGTGCGCATGGAAGAGAAGAAGAAAAAGAGAGAGGAGGAGCTGCTGAGGAGGAACCACGGACACCCCGGCGGCCACGGGGAGTCGCTGGCCACAACGGGCGCGCAAGACCTGCCCGCGGCCCCTGTGCGCGACGACCGCGGCAAGGTGCGCATCGCCGGCGCGCTGCTGCGGACCTACGTCTTCAACATCATCTTCAAGACGTTGTTCGAGGTGGGCTTCATCGCCGGTCAGTACTTCCTGTACGGCTTCAAGCTGCAGCCGCTGTACCGCTGCGACCGCTGGCCCTGCCCCAACACCGTGGACTGCTTCATCTCCCGGCCCACGGAGAAGACCATCTTCATCATCTTCATGCTGGCGGTGGCGTGCGCCTCGCTCCTGCTCAACATGCTGGAGATCTACCACCTGGGCTGGAAGAAGCTGAAGCAGGGCGTCACCAACCACTACGTCGCGGACCCCTGCGAGGCCCTGGCCGCGCGCCCCGGGCCACCCGCCGTCACCATCGGCTTCCCGCCCAGCTACGCGCACGCTGCCGCCGCGCTCCCGCAGGGGCCGGTGCGGGCCTCGCCCCCTGCGGGGGACTCCACGGAGGTGGCCGTGGTCGCGGAGCCCGAGAAGAGCCGGCCGCAGGCGCAGTCCAGGAAGGCGTCCCCGGGCGCGTCCAGCGCCGCGGCCCCGAGCCCCGGTGGCAGCAGCAGCAGTGCGAGCAGCCTGCCGCCCCCTCGGGAGGCCGGGCCGGGAGGCTCGGCTCCGCTGCTGCCGGGAGCAGACGCCACCGGGAGCAGCTCGGAGGAGGGGCCCTTGGGGGCGACGCCGGGAGAGGAAGAGCCGGCCGTGACCGCTGCGGCCGAGACGCACGCGCCGCCCTTGTTGTCGGCGGACGCTGGCAGGTGCAGCAAGGCCAGCAGCAGCGGTCGGGCGAGACCGAGTGACTTGGCCATCTAGGGATGGTCTCTCCAAGACAGCTTTATAAATCACCTTTTTTTCTAGACATCCAAAACCGAAGTACAGTTTCAGATGGGCAGGTAGACAGTCCCCTGGAAGGAGAGGGGCCGCCGGGGTCCCCCCGGGTCTCCGTGTTTAGTGCTTTTGCTGTTCTCGACGCGGGGAGCTGCGCAGCCCGGCGGCGGGTGGTCCCGGGAGGGCGTCCCGGGCTGCGCGGTCTCCGCAAGGTAGCCGGTCGGCGGGGGTGGGGGCGGGACGCGGGGAGGAGGAGCAGGTGTCTGCGCCCCCGGGGCCATGAGGTTCCCCGTTGCTCAGCTCTCCGTGGGAGACGCAGACACACTTAGCTCTATCTCTGTTTGATACTTTTAACTTAGAGTTGAATTTCATTTGGGCTGTTTGCCAAACTGCACTAAAAAAAGATTGAGAGCAAGTCCATAGAGTGTCTTTTGAGTTTCTGAAACTGCACGTGAAGGCCTGGATGGCAGACGGCAGGCTTCATGACGAGTGATGAAGAGCAGTCGCCCTGCAGGGGCAGAGGCGGTAGGTCGGGGCCACGGAGGTCAGGGTGGCAGGCAGGTGGCGGCGGAGCAGCACGCTGGGGGTGGCTTTTAAACAGCGGTGGAGATAGACATAATGGTGTGTCGGGTATGCCTTAGGTATTTATTTTTTAAAATTCTTGTGCTTTGATCTGAATGGTTATAGGTGTGCCCCTCCCCCCCAACTTCCTGGAGAAAAGAAAAAAAAAAATCGTCCAGAATACTGGTGCGGATTTTGACAAGAAATTCTTCCATGTCATAAGTCAGCTAATTACTGAGAGGATGCACTATCTAAATTAAAAGCAAGGGGGAAGTTTAGGGGGCTTTCAAATACTTGAAGTTGGTGAAGATTTCCGAGAAGTCAAAAATTAACTAACTGCTCTTGCAAGGAAATTAGCAATGATGATCTACACTTTAAAAAAAAAAGTGCAAAAACAAAAACGCACTTCAAGTGTCCTAACCATTCTTTGTGGGTAGCCTGTTTGCTTTCTAAAATGTAAATAAAAGTGTCTGGGTTTTACTCCGGTGTCCCTGTCTTCACTCGGTGCCAGAGGGCGCGATGTGTGTGGTGTGACCAGAAAGTGGTGGCGGCTCTCAAGCAGACACACCCGTTATCTGGGTAATTTCTAACAACCTAAGGAAAAACGCAATTCCCAAGGCTCGGATTCACGTGTGCAGTGAATTCCACCAGTCCAGGGCATAGGATGCACTGGGCCACTGCTGAGACTTCGAAGATGCAAGTTCCCACACAAATCTCCACAATCATTCTTAACCAGGGTGAGAGGAGGAGAGAGGATTCAGGTCTTTGGGAAATTGTGCGAGGGACCCTTCTCATGCCTCGGCTGGTGCTCCAGACATATAACTTGACTCTGCCTGTGCAGCAGGTGCCTTAGGCTCAGGTAAGCAGGACTGGGGCCTCCTGGGTGAGGAGGATCATGCAAAATTCGAACACAAGTCTGCTGCTGCAGTAGAGTAAGTTGAGCTCCCGCCTGTGGTGCCAGCATCACACACAGATACCAGTGTGCGTCCCCAGTACCAGCTGTTTCAGCCATTTGGGAAGTAAACCAGCACATGGAAGATTTTCCTCTCTGTGTAAATAAAAAGAAATAAATCTTTTAAAAATTGCATCTCCCTGTGGGCCAGGTTCCAGATGCAGTTTCAAGTGTGTTAATTATTTGAAAATCTCACTGAGATAACTTTTCCCTTGATTTAACAACAACAAAAATTGAAACCCCTAGGTTATCATAAAACTCAGACATGATGCCAGCCTTCAGTTGCAGAGCCAGCATCCCCTGTGGGCACCAGTCAGAATCCTTGCCACTCCGTTGCTGATCCAGCTGCCTGCATATGGCCTGGGAAAACAGCAGAAGACAGGCCAAAGCTATGCCCACATGGGAGACCTGGAGGAAGTTCCTGGCTCCTGGCTTCAGACTAGCCCAGCTCTTCCTCTCCTTCTCACTTTGTAAATCTGCCTTTCAAATAGAAATACATGTTTAAAAAGAAAAGTTTAGACCACTCTGCCTGTGTTGTTCGCACACCCGACTTTTTGTCTGCAGAGGGCTGTCACTCCTGCATTGTGGGAGTGAGAATTCCTGCACCTGCTCGGCCCACATACTGGGAAACCTGTCCGCTTCCAACAATTCCAAGACATTGCATGCATTATCACCCACTTTCTGCATCATTTTATTGAGTTGTCCTTGGAATTTTTTTCCCTTAAAATTGATCCCCCCACAGCTGGCATGGTACCTCAACAGGCTAATCCTCCACCTGCAAGCTCCAGCATCCCATATAGGATGTTTCACATCCCAGCTGCTCCACTTCCCAGCTCATGGTCCATGAAAACAGTGCAGGATGACCGAAAGGATGGCCTGGGAACTCTGAGCGAGACCTCGAAGGAGCTCCTGGCTCTTGACTTAAGCTGCAAACACTAGGTTGACTCAATCTAAAATTCCTTACCCGCCCCAAATATTTTTCCCTCTTTCCATTGTAGACTATCATAACAAAAGCTTTCATGACCAGTTAAGGGTTTAAGTAAACTATGCACAATGACCTGCTTCTAGAAAGTACCATACTTGAAGATGTTTGGTGTGTAACTGTCAGCTTAGCTCCTATAATTTACAAAATTCTGACAACTCTTTTGGGGCCATAATGGTTTTCTCCTAGATTGCCTTGCAACTGCGAATGAGCCTTTTTCTAAGAGGAAACGATCAAAAGTTCCTTCAATGTACCAGGCTAGTTCTATAGTTGGTAAACGCTTTTGATCGATAAACTCCCTGAGCAAATTTCCAGAACTGCAGTTTTTATTATTAAAGGTATACTAACAAGCACAAAGTTTTTTCAGCAGTAAAAACTTGAGAAATCCTTGCAGAGGTCACCTGTCTTTTTGACTCTCCCCTGCTCGCCCTGTCTGTTCAGGCTTCTTTTTCTGGAGTGTGCCCCCCTCCTTGCCCACAGTCCTACGTTAGTGGAGCCCAGAGGTCTCTACTCGCAGGAGGCCCGAGTGCATGGCCCCAGGAGGACTGTGTGTGTGTAAATACTAGCATAGCTTTTGTGACACTCTGAGCAGTGCCTCATCTCTGGTTTTGATCAGACACTTGACACTGTCCCTGCTTTATAAACTCACAGATGATGTGATTTCCAGGGATGCAGTAGAGCAAGAAGAGGATCTGAAGCTCCCCCGCCCCCCCAAAAGCACAGCCCCCAGGGCAGCTGGAGATGCCCATACCCCCAGAGGAGTCCTGGCACAGGCCCTAGCTCCACTCCCAGACTCCAGCTTCCAGCTGACGCACACCCTGGCAGGCAGCAGGTGGTGGTTCTGCTATCCATCCCAACAGGAGTGCTGGACTCCCAGCTTGGGCCTGACCCAGGCCTAGCTGCTATGAGCATTTAGAAAGTCAGTATGGGGCCCGGCGCGGTGGCGCAAGTGGTTAAAGGTCCTCGCCTTGCACGCCCGGGATCCCATATGGGTGCCGGTTCTAATCCCGGCAGCCCCGCTTCCCTTCCAGCTCCCTGCCTGTGGCCTGGGAAAGCAGTCAAGGATGGCCCAAAGCCTTGGGAACCTGCACCCGTGTGGGAGACCCTGAAGAGGCTCCTGGCTTCGGATCAGCATAGTATCGGCCCGTTGCGCTCACTTGGGGAGTGAATCATCGGATGGAAGATCTTCCTCTCTGTCTCTCCTCTCTGTATATCCGCCTTTCCAATTAAAAAAAAAAAAAGAAAGTCAGTATGCAATTCGCATCCCATATGGACACCTCTTCTTACCTTGGATGCTCCGCTTTCAGCTCCTGCCGCTTCCCAGCTCCCTGCTTATGCCCTGAGAAAGCAGTGGAGGATGACCCAAGGCCTTGAGCCCCTGCACCTGTGTGGGTAACCCAGAAGAAGCTCCTGACTCCTAGCTTTGGGTTGACTCAGCTCCAGCAATTCTGACCATCTGTGAGTGGATTAAAGATCTCCATCTCTCTTTCTCTCTTTATAAATCTGCCTTTAAATGAAAGTAAATAAGTCTTTTTATTAAAAAAAAATAGTGAGTGAATAGAAAAATCACTTTCTCTTTCTTGCTGTCTTCTTCCCAAATAAATTAAAATGGAACGTCTTTATTGTCCCTACGTGGACATTTTTAGCAACTTTGTGCAGTTTTATTACCTTTCTACAGTGCAAAAAAAAAAAAAAATGAAAAGAACAGTGGTGTTTTGTTTGTCTTAACCCACCCAAAGACGTATTTCCAAATATATTGCTTTGATGTCTGAAAACTGACCCAGAGAGAGGCCCCAAAGGCTCTGGGCCTCACAGGTCCCAGGCCGCTAGTTCACTCCCAACTGGCTGCAACAACTGGGCCCGGGCCAGACTGAAGCCAGGAGCCTGGACCTGCAGCAGAGTCGGGAGCTCTCGGGCCATCTCCCGGTGCCTTCCCGTTGCTTTAGCACGGAACTGGGTCAGAAGTGGCTCAATGGGACTTCAGCCATTATTCATCTGGGATGCCAGGGCCTTACCTCCCTGGGCCACGCCAGCCCCTTTCTCCATTTTAAGAGAGGAATGTGTGGTTACTAGCACACACATAAGCCTTTCTCAGATAGGATTTCATTGCGGAGTCTCAATTTCCCACATCTCAAGACAAACCCAACCTTCAGATTCGCACGGAGGCTGTTTGACCTCACCATGCAGGGAAGACAGAAGTCTCCATTTCTATCGAGTGCATCACCAACTGCACTTAATAACGGCATTCACGAAATGCTTGATCAACGTGGAGACTGCAGGCCCAGATGGGCGTGAGGGTCTAACTCTTTTAGGGAACAGTCGCCCATGAGTCATCTCAAAAGGCCAAGCCTCAGGTGCCTCCTGGAGCTGCCCTTCTCTGAGAGGACGACAAGATGACATCAGCCAGTTTTGCAAGTCCACTCATCTCCAAGCAGTTTAACCAAAGTAGAAGGCTGCTGATTTAAGACAGGTGAGGCCCATTACGGTTCA